TAGCAACCACGGCCATACGGGAAAAGATTCCATACCATGAGGCCCGCAGAAGACACGAAGCAACCCAAGGCATAACTGCAGCCATTACCACCAAATTGAGCAACGAGGTGGCTCAACTCAAAAGTGACATCCAAGCTCTCAGAGACGAGAAAGACGCATCCAAATCCCAACGAGATGAAGACAGAGATGAAATAACAGGCCTGAGAGCTATAATGCAGGCGACTCTTGACACCCAGAAACGGATGACAGCAGAGATGACGAAATTCAAGGAGGACATCATGAATGCACTGGCCACTATCCAGACACAAAAGGAACAACCAACTAAAGCAAGGGAAGACGAGGCGGGCATCAATGATCTGCGGGATAACCAACAACTTCTCGCGAAAGAAGTCGCAATGATCAAGAAGGCACTAGCTGAAACAGAGGAGAAGTTACGAAGAGCATACGAAGAAAACAACAGACTTAATAAGGAACTGCAAGCAACCAACAGAGTGATGGAAGAAAGAGAGAAAGCACGGAAAGAGGCAACAAGAAGGCAGCAAATACAGGGAGCCGAGACCCAGAAAAAGCCACATCAAACACCAGATAAGAAAACTCCAACGCCGCTGATGAAACAGTTTCCGTTGGCAACTGCTGACCAAATAAACCAACGCATCATGGAGCTGGAGGACCCGAACTTCTTTAACTCAGAACTACAAGATGATGATGTTCTATGGTCATCACCAGAGGAACCATATCGACAGCCAAAACCTGAAGTCAAACGAGGTCGACACCGTTACCCCAAACACTAATACCAGATACGACACAACCAAGGCCAAAATTACCGAAACCCTATGTAGGAGCAGTACTTTACAACAAGGATACGAGAAAATCACCAAATAATACCAGACCTCACCAGTATTGTCATCAGTACCTGCCCAAGTCAATCGACCGCCGGTCCTTATTAGGATAGGCAATTTACTTTCCCCGGAAACAACAAACAGCCAAGGAATACCACAATAAATTGATTCAACATCCAATCATCTTGAGCGCAGCACAGGGCCAGCCAAATTACAAAAGCAACAGCAAGAGCGGAAACCACAACAAATAGAAAGCAACAATATTGAACACAATCCAAAATCAAATGAGATCGAGACCAGAAAACGTCACCACAAATATAGCTGAAAGGAAAGTGAGCAGAAATGTGAGCGGACCTAGCTGAAAGTGGTCAACGAAAGAGAATTTGAATTTTGAATTTAGGAAAGTGCATGAGGTGGGAGATCTAGTGACAGACTGAGTTTCTTTCGGGCAGACTAATGAGAGGAATGTTCAGCAAAGGACCTGCTACATGATAACCGACATCAGGTGAGTGCAGGGACTGGCCAGCTGGTGCTGCAGAATCAGAAGTTCAACAAATGATTCATGAAAATTTCCGCCTAGGTGATTTGATTATCTATACAGATGGCTCTGTGTTGAGGGGCAGACAAAGTGCATATGGGTTCATAGTGAAAGCAAATGGACATCACATTGTGCAACAAAGCCTAGCATATGATATCACAACGTCTAGTTTGAGAATAGAGGTGGATGCAGTCACTGCTGCCTTCTGCTGGCTTGAGAATCAGCTGTACACACATGCCATCATTGTAACTGACTCACAGAGCATGTTGAGAAAGGTGGAGACAGGCATACTCTGTGCAGAGTGGCAAGCATCACTACAAAGGTTCAGGGTAGTTAGTATCACTTGGATTTTTAATCCAGGGCATGCCATGTGTGTTGGGAAATGAGCAGGCAGATAGAGTGACCAGCTCTGCACCACTTGGTGGTGAACTGATGTATGACAAGCTGGGTGTTGTGAGGTAGATAGATCATTACGTTCTGAGGAGAATGGCACTGTGAGGAGTTACAAGGCGATCTGGCCGAGGCTTGACACTGATGGGAAAGGCGAGACGGATAAACATTTAGACAGTTAATGGTACCATCAGAATTTTAACTCTTGGCTTGCTGCTGAAGATGGGAAGGGAGTGCTTATGGGGTGTCCCGAGTGCTGTGATGTTGATTCTTAATTCAACATTAACAACCAATATCACAGCACCTAGGACATACACAAATTGATGCATACCTATCTTCAGCAGCCAGTGAAGAGTGCCAACTCTGATGGTACTAGCAGCAATTTGATTGTATGTCCATCATGTCTTTCCTCTGAAAGTGGAGCATCGGCCAGATCCAATGGTCACTCCCCGTGGCACCATTCTTTTCAGACCGTGATAATATAATTGTGCTTCCACACTGTCCACTCTCTCTCAAAAGGCCTTGACAACAGCTAGCTTGTCATGCATCAGCCAGTCTGTCTGCCTGTTAATTTCCCAATACACCTGCATCCTCTCAAGAAATTATCCAATGGACCTCTGAAGTGATGTATAATACTTCATACAAAGCATACCCCGCTCCATCTTTCTCAGCATACCTAGCTTCACCTTTCCCAGCATAACCCGCTCCACCTTTCTTAGCATACTAGCTTCCCCTTTCCCAGCATACCCAGCTCCACCTTTCCCAGCATACCTAGCTTCACCTTTCCCAGCATACCCCGCTCCACCTTTCTCAGCATACCTAGCTTCACCTTTCCCAGCATACCCCGCTCCACCTTTCTCAGCATACCTAGCTTCACCTTTCCCAGCATACCCCGCTCCACCTTTCTCAGCATACCTAGCTTCACCTTTCCCAGCATACCCCGCTCCACCTTTCTCAGCATACCTAGCTTCACCTTTCCCAGCATACCCCGCTCCACCTTTCTCAGCATACCTAGCTTCACCTTTCCCAGCATACCCCGCTCCACCTTTTTCAGCATACCTAGCTTCACCTTTCCCAGCATACCCCGCTCCACCTTTCCCAGCATACCCCGCTCCACCTTTCCCAGCATACCTAGCTTCACCTTTCCCAGCATACCCTGCTCCACCTTTCTCAGCATACCTAGCTTCACCTTTCCCAGCATACCCCGCTCCACCTTTCCCAGCATACCCTGCTCCACCTTTCTCAGCTTGCTTTACGGGTCAGTTATAATCATAACAGGTGTGCAGCTGGCCGTAAAGCCAAAGGAAGGCTTCAGTGGCCGCCTCTACTTCCATTTTAAAACTGGATGTTGTGATATTATATGCCAGCCTTTGTTGAACTAAGAGTCATTAACTGACATTAGCTATGAACCCCCATGCACTTCTTCTGCCTCTCATCGCAGAGCCATTGGTAAATGATAATGCTAACAGGAGCCAAGATAGTGTAGCGGCTAGATGTTTGTTTTAGGTCTCAATTTGAACTTGCAATGGGAGGATTGGCCCTCCCAACTCTTTTTCCCTCCATCATGTCCATTTTTGTGAAATGCTTCAGTAGTTTACGCCTTATGCTCTGCCCAGATCTTTTAGATATCTTAACCCTACCAGCCCGCTGGCCTGATTTTCCATGAATTTCTTAACCTGACGCTATACCGCTGGCCCTAATTTTTTGCTGTTTGCTTAGTACTGGAAAAAGATGCGTCACAAAATAAAAATAACTAGCCAATCGTAATCGTAGCCCTAGATGTCTGCCCTCGTGTGTTTGGATAAAATTTGTTGTTTTGCTTGAAAAAATTTCTGAAAATTCACAATAAAACGAGCGGCTGATGAACCAAGCACTTCAACAGGAAAGTAAAGTAGGTCTAGGCTTTTCACAATCCAACAGATGATCGATACTTATTCAGACTCTGAGGAGTCACTATTTCATGAAGAATACGTTCACAGTTGAAGTGACACATTCAGCTCGAATAATGAGGAGAACCTTGGAAATTATAAATCTAGAAATAGATCGGTAGTAAGAGAAGGGGGCATGTCCCTCAAACAGCAGCATCTGGTGCTCACTTTGTGAAACAATCGTGATCCTCCTGAGTGGATTGGCATATAAAGGAATATTGGTGCTAGATAAAAAATAAGCCTATTTTCTACAATGTCCCCAAGTTTAATCTTATTCTGGCCACTTGTTCGCATGTAACGAATATTTGTGTATATCATGTTGGTTTTTTCAGGTTAATGCCCAGCAGGTCAGGTATAGAGGACAGTTAGGTTCAGGGCCTCAGGTCTGGTAGGGTTAACCAAGAGACAATACTGAGCTTTACAAGTAGACCACAAATCAAAAGGTTTGGCCATGTAACAAGATTGGTATCAGACAGGGCACCACAGAGAGTAATGTTATACAGATACAGTGGTAACAGAGCCAGAGGTCGACCACGCAGAAGATGGACCACATAAATATCAGAGACACTAAACATTACTTTATACAATGAGGCATGCCAGGAGTAGAGAAAAAAGAAGAAGAAGAACCAAGAGATGACAAACCACAAAAAAACAGCATAGAGATAAGATTCAGGAGCTAAGTATGGGATGCTAAGATGTTGAATCAGACATGATGGTACGGCAAGACCAAGGCACAAACTGGGCAAGACATCTGAATGTCTCCACGGTCATGCTAGAAATAGATCCCTCAGTGGAGAGCCTGGCCAAGATAGATAGGATCAATGCTTCCTTCAAAGTCAGTGTGCATCTGCTTGATTGAGTGCATCAGAAGTCCTAGTGCCTCTGCCTGACTGAGTGTATCAGATGTCATAGTGCATTTGCCTAATTGAGTGCATCAAAAGTCACATTGCATCTGCCTGACTGAGTGCATCAGAAATTAGTGTGCATCTGCCTGACTGTGTCCATCAGAAGTCACAGTTTACCTGCCTGATTGAGTGCATCAGAAGTCACAGTGCATCTGCCTGACTGAGTGCATCAGAAGTCAGAATGCATCTGTAATGAACCAACAGTCTGCACACAAATAAGCCTGATGTGTGAAACAAATGTACATGCAAAACTCGTCCTGGAACAAGGTAAAGTCCAGAAGTGGAGCAACAACTAGGACACTTTCCTCCAGAGTTTAAAGCCGGCGAAAGTGAAGGAGGAGAAGGAGGAGGAGGAGAAGATATAGCTGAGTATGACCCTGACTGAAGACTACGAACTCACCTGGAATCTTCAGACTGAGCTCACACTGACTGCCCACGTGGGTGATGTCGGCTGCCTCCTTGTGGCGGGTGATACGTTCGGTGATCTTGGCCGAAGGTTCGCCTCCAATTTTCACAGTAAAGGGACTGCCTGTAACAACAGAAACGTTTTTTGAGTTAATCATTTTTTCTACTCCCCAAGGGAGTATAGGCCCTCAACCAGCTCTCGCTAAGTCACCCTATCTTTTGCTATCACAAGTAGCTCACCCAATGTACTTGCTATTTTCTTTCTTTCTTTTTATTTCCCCAATTTTAGACTATAGTTCCAGTGTTCATGTTTTTTTTTCCCTGGACTGCTTTTATTCATTTGACACTGTGGATTCCAGTGTAAAGACATTCTATTTATACTGTTATCAGGGTTTCTCAACAGCTGTAATATTTAACACCAACATTTTCCCCTCACTTATTTATTCACTGGAACTTGTTTGTTCTCTCCATATTAATGAAAGTTTGTAGCTTATTAGTAACTGTTTCAGTAGTTCTCCATTTTTCAAGTTTCATACAGCAGTACTGATTTGGCGACAGAGCTAAATATTCTAAGCTGTAATTTCTTCTTCTTCTTCTTCGTCTTTTTCTTCTTCCTCTTCTTCTTCTTCTTCCTCTTCTTTTTCTTCTTCCTCTTCTTCTTCTTCTTCCTCTTCTTCTTCTTCTTCCTCTTCTTCTTCCTCTTCCTCTTCCTCTTCTTCTTCTTCTTCTTCTTCTTCTTCTTCTTCTTCTTCTTCTTCTTCTTCTCCTCCTCCTCCTCCTCCTCCTCCTCCTCCTCCTCCTGCTGCTGCTGCTGCTGCTGCTGCTGCTGCTGCTGCTGCTGCTGCTGCTGCTGCTTCTTCTTCTTCTTCTTCTTCTTCTTCTTCTTCTTCTTCTTCTTCTTCTTCTTCTTCTTCTTCTTCTTCTTCTTCTCTTCTTCTTCTTCTTCTTTTTCATCTCCTTCTCCTCCTTCTTCTTCTTCAAGTTCAATGGCTGTGACTCTAGTAGAAAGTTTTGGTTGTTCATCCACTTCTGGACTTTCCAGAACCTCAGTGTTGCATGCACATCTGTTTTACATTTCTGAATTATTTGTATGCAGATTGTTGGTTTCCCACCCCCCTAATCACATTACTAAAGAACAGTGCTTGTCTTTTCCTTAAAGATGTATATATTGATCTGCTTTTATTAGCTTCCTTCGTTAGCTTCCTTCATTAGCTTCCTTCAAGCAATCCTCACTAGTTACTCTGGCAGTCCAAGGGATTCTTAACATTTGTAAGAAAAACCACATCTCTGTCACCTCCAAGTTCTTTCTGATTTGTGTATTCATATTCCATGATTCGCTACCATATGTCACATTTTTAATACTGCTCTATGGTGTCAAATGTCAGGCACATACATAGTCTAGGGCACAGTGTAATGAGTTAGGTTGGCCTGTTACCTTCTACACTAACTGTCTTTCCCAGACAAGACGCAGACAAATTATGAAAGTGTTTGATGTCTGGATTCACCATTACCATCATGTGAAAAGGCTGAAGAGGCTGTCATGTTTCATCATCTCACACAATCATCCGATTACAGATCAGGTCAATGCTCTTATTCTTGAGTCAAGCTATCCATCTATTCTTTCCTCTGCCTTCCCCTTGCTATCTTCCCACCAACTTGCCAGTTGTTATTGAGTTCACGAGTCCATTCCTTCTCCTGATATCGCCCCCCCCCCCCCAAAAAAAAAAAAAACCAAGACAGGTGTATTAGAAAAGGAGCAACCTTTTCCAGTTCTACAAATAACTGATATATGGTCCACTGAGCTGACAAATACTCCCAAAAGCTGGTTCATTAAACCACCCTCCCACCCCCCACCCCCGGGAAGTAAAGGTGGCTGAGGTGATGGCCCTATATGCCCAATAAACCTAAAGGCGTGGAAAAGGGTCCTTGAAAAAAAAAAAAAAAAAACGTAGATGACGTATAAGTACTGTACCTGGGACATGCTGATCAGCAAATTTGATATTGATGATGTAATTTCCAGGTTCTGTGGGTTTGTAGGTGACACGGCACGTGCCGTCTTCATTGTCATGACACTCAATATCAGCCTTGCTTGGGCCCTCAATAGACAGCGACATGCCTCCATAACCTGGCAGAGTTTAAGATGACAAAGTTTGTATTCAATTCTAGTTGAAATATTTTTCTCTCCTAGATAAATGTTAAGTAAACTCTCATTTGCCTCAGAAGAGTTTAAGTAATACAATTAGTTGTAGTAATCTAAACAACAACATCCTGTTCAACCCATCTAAGTTATAACTCGGATGTATAGTTTTTTTCCCCTCTACTTCGATATGGTATATAGGGCGGAACCAATAGTCTGCTTATACATAAGGCGGATATCTTTAACGTGCATTGCAAAACTCAAGTTCTGGAACTCCTCTAAACACCCCAGCTTTAAACACTTCACTGTAACAAATCCAGCAATAAATGCCCCAGCTATAAACACCCACAGATTAAACACCCCAAGCATAAACACTGCAGCTATAAACACCCTAGATATAAACATTCCAGCTATAAGCACCCCAGCTATATACACTTCACTGAAACAACTCCAGCAATAAACACCCCAGCTATTTACACTTCACTGAAACAACTCCAGCTATAAACACCCCAGCTATATACACTTCACTGAAACAACTCCAGCTATAAACACCCCAGCTATATACACTTCACTGAAACAACTCCAGCTATAAACACCCCAGCTATATACACTTCACTGAAACAACTCCAGCTATAAACACCCCAGCTATAAACACTTCACTGAAACAACTCCAGCTATAAACACCCCAGCTATATACACTTCACTGAAACAACTCCAGCTATAAACACCCCAGCTATAAACACCCCAGCTATAAACACCCAAGTTATAAACACCCTAGCTATAAATACCCCAGCTATAAATAATGCAGCTATAACCCACCCCCCCCCCCCACTATAAACACATAATAAAGACGTCAGCTATAAACACCCCACCCATAAACACCCTGGCTATAAACACCTGATTTGTAAAGACATTAATTATAAAGACTCCAGCTATAATCACCCCAGCTTTAAACACTCCAGCTATAATCACCCCAGCTTTAAACACTCCAGCTATAATCACCCCAGCTTTAAACACTCCAGCTATAATCACCCCAGCTTTAAACACTCCAGCTATAATCACCCCAGCTTTAAACACTCCAGCTATAATCACCCCAGCTTTAAACACTCCAGCTATAATCACCCCAGCTTTAAACACTCCAGCTATAATCACCCCAGCTTTAAACACTCCAGCTATAATCACCCCAGCTTTAAACACTCCAGCTATAATCACCCCAGCTTTAAACACTCCAGCTATAAACCACAGCTATAACTAAACAAGCAATAAACACTGCATCCACAAATCACGCAGACACTTCTAAACCTACTAGCTACCTGCTTCTCGAGTGTCCACAATAAACTCATTGACTTCATTGGCTGTGCCCTCCTGAAGACCTTTGCCATAAACCTTGACCTTGCTGGCATTGCCAATCTCACTTTCACCGACTGTGATCTTGAATGGTGAGTTGGCGATGTGAACTCCATTCCTGAACACGTTGACAAGGTGCTCGCCCGTTTCTCGGGGTGTGAAAGTAATACCTGGGTAATACATATGTAAAGTAGTAATATTAGAACTGCCAAAACCATTCATTTTAGTAAATTCTGTTAAGATCAAAACCTGTCTTGAATAATAATTTTTTAAAAGTCGACAGACAAAATTGCCTGTCACCCCAAAAAAATGAAGAAACCAAGAGTTTCTTCTTCTTCTCCACCATTTACCTCAGTGAGGTGTTGGGAGGAGATGTAAGGATGCACTTTTTCCAAAGCATTGTAAAAGCTGGTGTTAATTTCTGTTAAGTTTTTCCTGATGATGTCGCTCCATCTCTTGCATGGTCTTCCCCTTGCTCTGTGTTCATTATATTTCTTCAGCATGGCTCTTTGTGGCAGTTGGTACCAGGGCATTCTCTTCAGTAGTCAAACCATCTCACTTGTTATTCTTTAATGAATAAATAAACTTAATGAACCAAGAGTTTGCATACAAATAAGCCAGATCCGTGAAACGGATGTGCACAAAATACTCAGGCTCTGGAACAAGACTAAAGTCCGGAGGTGGACGAGCATCCGAAACTTTCCGCCGAAGTTTACAGCCAGTGAACGTGAAAAAGAAGAAGATATACCTATCACACCTAAAGGTATGGAAAAGGGTCCTTCACGTAAAAAAAAAAAAAAAAACCTTTATCCAGCAAGTGGGCCACTGTGCTTAGGATGCCAGACTTATATTCTGAAAGACTAAACAGGCATCAATGGATGATATGGTCGACATCAGGCTGGCTGCCTTTATTTCCCAGTGTTTTACCTGGTACCCACTTCAGCCTCGAAACAGCCTTAAAGAAATGAAGAACAAATTCTGTAATGAATTAGAAAGAACATTTAGAAGATCCCTACTCCCACCCCCCTACCCCTACCATCACTTCAAATGAGATAGCTAAAGAAAGAGGAGGAGGAGGAGATACACTCCTTTAATACTCCCATTAGCATACTCCTAAAATACTCCAAATATATATTTTTTTACACCCTCATCTCACACACACCTATCTACACACTCATATTACACACCCATCTCATACTTTTATCATGGACTCCTAACACACATACACAAGTATCACATAATGCTTGTTCAATGACCTTTGTCAAAGACCCACCTAGGTGACCATTAGCCAAACGTTTCAGGAAACATGGTTCCTCCCTTCCGGAAGGAGACACAATTGTAGCAGTTAAACTCTCCACATCCTTCTCGGTGACCTTTAGTGAGACCTCAGAACTGCTACCAACCAGGATTTGGTTCTTCCTTCGAGCTTCTCCAGCTGTGGGAGCAAATAAGAGGTTTTGATACACAAAGCAAGGGCATATAATATACGAGTGACTAGTAACTGGTAAAGGACAATTTTTCGTGCCTTTAAGCGTATTGAGCATATAGGGCAAAACCTATATTTTATAGACGAATCAGCACTCAGTGGCTGATGTGGTTAGCATCATGCTGGTCACCTTTACTTTCCAGGATTTTATGTGGTACCCACTCATGGCTGGGTCAACCTGGGAGACTAGATCATTCCTGAAAAAAAGTCTAGCTCCGCTAGGACCCAAACCCATGACTTTCCGATCCACATGTGAGCATCTAGCCGCTACAACATGGTGGCTACCATAAGTAACTAGCCAAGAAAGTAACTGAGGGAAAAGGGTGTAAAAATATGGTAATTAAAAATGTTTTCTGAGAACTGTTTAGAACAAAAAGTGATGAGTAAGTTCATCCCGTATCTTAATTCCAAGACACTCCAACAGCAGTATACGACTAGAGTCAGCTATTTTGTGATACAATTCAGCTGTATTGTATTTTAAAGTTTCACATGGCAGCAGAAAATTACGCTGGTAGATAATGTGTATTTTTCTGTGTATAAGATACCTCTTTGCATACGACGACCCTAATTTAAAAAAAAACACAAAAATTTTTTGTCTCAAATTAAGCAATAAATAAATATTTTTATCACATTCCATGCATATATGATCACCTCACTGCCCATAAAAACATGGGAAAACATATTGTCGATGCACGGAAAAATACAGTAATCACTTTAGGAGACTGAGTTAATCCAGAGCTGTTATGAACAGAAAATTCTACCCTTCCTTTTATGGGAACTGAACTTATTTTGGGGGTAGGGGGGGGGGGGGGGGGGGGGGGAGGGGGTTAACTCTTTCAGTCCCAGGCAGTGTTACTTTAGCTTATTCTTTTTTTATGCAATTGTCAATACAAACTAATAAAAGTTTAAATGTTAAACAGTTACACTAATAATATTATGAGACTTGTATGGTCAAAGTAAGAAATGGGATACAAGGAGTTAATGTAACACATGGAGTGACTACAGCAAGTTAAGTTTAGGTCATTTTGCAAAAACCCCGTAAATGCAAAGTGTGTTTACTGGTACTGAATGAGTTAAAAATAGACACACAGATCCCCAACAAGCATGTTATAAAAGACGAATAAGTAGGTGTTAGCCAAAACTAGATGTGTTGATATGAAATGTGTAAATTTCAAATCTGGCTGTAACCACAAAACAGTACACCAACTGCTTTTTTAACAGTGAACACAAATGAAAAAGAATTACTTGGACCATTGCCCTCATGAGCAAGCACACTAGCTACTATAATATGGCTGCTTTTATTAAAAACTAAAGCAATACTAAACAAAACAAAAAAGAACTGACCGAGTGTCATGGTAACTGTTCACTTCTTGCTTTTTGATGTCAAATCTTTTTTGAATTATCTTGATAAATACTTCTAAATCTCACATAAAGTAGGTAAAATATAAGTAAATTTTTAATTTTTATTTTGGCATTAAGGCAAACGACTTATCTGGCCTCAAAGTTAAAATCCGCCTCTAACTGAACTTCCAAACAAACAAGATCCCCACATTTGAACACAAGCAGTATAAAAAGTCTTACCAGAATAACCGCACACACTTAAACCATCACTCACGTTATCTTGAGAAAGTAGCTGCCAAAGCAGATTTAAAAAAAGAAAAAAAAAACAGCCCTGAAGCCAGATTTCTAAATATAGTCAACAGTTATCTCCCTTTTATCTGAGAATGGCTGATAAGTGCTGAACACTTACGTGTAACCTTGGCAGTGAAAGGTGAACCAGCAATGTGCTTGTCTGCAAATTTGACAGTTATCTGGTACTCCCCAGGTGCGGTGGGCAGGTAGGAGACTGTGCAAGTTCCATCTTCATTATCCTTACACTGTATCTCCGTCTTTGATGGGCCTTCTATGGCCAAAGACAGTCCTCCTAAAATAAAAAAAAAAAATTAAATTAAAAGCTAATAAAATGTTATATTTCTTCTTTGTTTACCTACTGTAAGCTCTGGCAAAAAGTCCTGGTCGTTTTTCTATTTGGACTTTGGCTTTGTGCCAGGGCATGAGTTTTGAGTGTACGTCCATTTTACTGCCATATTTTTGTGCAGTTGGTTGTTCCTTGCCACTCAAGAAGATGTACTCTGATTTTGAATGAAGCCCCCAATTAGTCGACTCCTATGACATTTTACTGGGTAGGCAGTTGATCGGTTTTTGTTTTCCCCACAATGGGACCCTGGAAGCCACACAAGGAACAAAAATGAATTGAGGATGTGAGGATACCTGAGAGAAACCCTAAAACAAATCTTAACAAGAGGTCGAAGATGATGGACTGAATTCTATTCCTGATACCAAAAGGATTGCAAAGGATAGAAAGGAATGGAGGCATACACTGCGAGCCTTAAATGACATTTAATGGCACAGCATGATGATGATAGAAGACCACAATAAAACATACAACATATGCACGTACCGGCGCCAGCATTCTTCGTATTGATGGTGAAGACGGCTTGTTCGTAAACCACACCATGACTCAG